TGTAAGTTAGGCCAGGATGGTTGATTCTTTTGTTGAAGTTTCCTCTATACTTACTGACCTCTGAGCTATTCATGTATCTATTACTGAGAGAGGAAAAATTAAATCCCGAATACAACTGTTAATGTATATAAACATATATTTATCATTTGCTGACTGTGCGTTTCTAACTCCTGATGCACTGAGGTCTCTATGCTTCCCCCTGAGGTGGCCCCTTTCTCAGTGAAATGTTCTCATCTTAGTGATACAGCCTTGCTCGGATGGCCACTGTGAAATTAATGGACCCATTCCAGCTTTGTTGTGTTCAGCACACTCCAGCTTTCCCACGATGAGGGTTTGAATACTACATCTTTTTCCTTGGTTATACTTTTTATATTGCATATTTTGGTTTTACATTTAAAGGGGTTTTCATGTAAGTACTTATACTTGGGCCTTGTATTTTCAGCCAATATAATAATATTTAAAGTGTTTAGAATATTTAATGTAGTCATCAACATAAAATGATTTATATCAATCATTTTGATTTCCATTAATTTTTTCATGTTCTTTGTACCATTTTTTTCTATTTCACTGCTTTCTTATTCATTGAGTATTTTTTACAATTCTATACAATATTCACTATTATCTACTGAATACATTAAGATTGTATGTTTCTTTTAAAAGAGTTCTTGTTAATTATAATACATTGCTTATACTAATATAAAATATATTATGAATTATATATTTTGTAGAATTTCAAATTAGTCAAATATTTATGATTGTACACATTAAGTAAATTCAGTAATTGCCTTTATTCACACCAAAATTTTACACTATAGCCTTGTGGCCATAAAAGATATATTTATCTCTCATAGAACATATCAGAATTGCTAGGTTGAGATACAATTTAATATTTTCTCCTGTAGCTTTCTTACAGCAAAACCAAACAGATACTAAAAATACATTTTCCTACATTAGATCGTCCATGATAAGTACTTCCAACTATCAAAGCAATCATTTTTGTGCTTCCTGAAAATATAGACTCTCGGGAAAGAGATAAGTGAACGATCAGGATAGCGTAAAAGCAGAAAGTGTTTCATTACGGCCACCACTCTAAAGATCAGTTTGTCCTGCCCATAAGAACAAGTTTAGCTGGTCCTGCCTGCGTCTGCTATTAGCAGTGCTCTGTTATATTATGTATGGCATTTGACTATTCATAGGAAAGAAAATGCACTGGGTTCCATTAGTGGTTTCCTGTGAGTCTAAGTCCACAAATGACTGGTGACGTACAGGCTGACGTGTCCTCCCCCCGCCCCCGGTTGTCTGTAATGCTCCTGGTACATTCATTATTAATATGAATATAATGTGAGGGACTAAAGATCAATATGATTTCTATCAAATTTAGTTTCTGTGTTTGAGATTAAAACTCTCACGCATATATGATGATATATTTACCTGCTGTCCCCTGTGCATGACCAGAGAAGATCCTGGCGCAGCTCTTAGGCCATAGCAGGTGCAGCAAAGAGGGAAGTGAGACCCCAGAATAACTGAAAGGAAATGTGGTTACTTCTGCAATTGGGGAGGGATCTTCCCAATGGTTTTTAGGAAGATCAGAATATGACTATTCTCCAAAGGTAAGAAACTGCTTTTATGGTGAGCAGTGTATTTCCAAAGCAAGACACTTTGGAGGATGTGAGTTTGAGCAGAGTTCCTCAAACTCAAGAAAGTTTATTGTTGCCTTCAGCGTGTCTCGGTGTAAAGACTTTTGTGCCACACGTGTTCTTGAAGATGTCTAGATAATTCATCCCTCAAGAAAGTTGAAAATCCAGGAATGGGTAAGAACATAATATATCTCATGCTGTCACTGTGTCGTCCACAAATTAGACTGGGGATATTTTAGCTCCCTGATCCCTCAAATTTACAAGGTTTAATGCTGAAAAGTAATTATTAAAGATTCTGCTGTTAGCTTTGACAGTGTCAATGGAGTCAGACCATACAGTATAGATAGCATTTTTTCAAAGGCAAGAAAAGAAAAAGAAGAAAGAAAGCTCCAAAACTTGTTTAAAGGCACTAGAGAATATTAAGTACTCATGGGGCTGAGATTCAAGAACAAAACACATTGAATTGACCTGAATGTTTGCAGGGATTTTTCTCTGGGGACTTCTGGCCATCAGAAAGCAGTGACACAGAGTTCGTGGCAGTTTTGCTGGTTTACCCAGCCCTGCAGAACTTGAAGAACCGATATTGTGCTTCAAACAGAAGTCAGCCATGGTCTATTTAGAATGCCAGCGTGTTTAAATGCTTGGAAATCAATCGTGTACTACTAAGTGAGAAAAGAATTTATGATGCGTAAAACAGATTTGATAAAATTTCGTACCCCTTCATGGTTTGAGAAAAGAAAATAAAAATAAGCTATAACAAAGAATCTCTTTGTAGACAGGAGTAGCCTGGGTCTGCCCGTCTTTCCCTGCATAGACGTCCACATACCCACAGACATAGGCGCCTATCAACCAGCTCCTCACTTAATGACGTTGGTAGGTTCTTGAAACTACAACTTTAAGTAAAACTACATAAACCAAAACGATCTTTTTCTCATCAAAATTGTAACAAAATGACACTGAAGAAGGCAACATTATTCCAGGACCCTTCATTTTCCCTTCATTTTCTGAAAGTCACATTTTCCAGGAAACTATCACCAACATTGAGGACTCAGTACATATGTCTGTGTATACACAGCATGCAAAAAAAAAGTATACAAATGTTTATAAAGGGGAAAAATTGAATTGAAATTGTAATAGTCAATGAGTACCAATAATGCTTAGATTGTGTTTTTTATCTCTTGCAATTGCTGAAATCAAATGTGACTTGGGCATTACAATTTTAAATGTTTTTTTAACTTTCTTTAAATGTGCTTGTGTGTTTTTTGGCACCCTCTATTTGTGCCTACACACACACAAATACACAGTCACACACGTACACAAATGACCCTAAACAGCGTGGTTTGAACGGCATAGGCCCACCCGTGTGAGGATTTGCACACTTCACCGCCACCCCTGAGACAGAAGAACCAACCCTCCCTCTTCCTCCTCTTCCTAAACCTCATCAGTGAGAAGATAAAGCTGGAGACTTTTCTCATGACCCACCTCCACTTAGTAAACAGGAAATGCAGTTTCTATTTTTTATAATTTTCTTATGAACATACTCTCTTTTCTACAGTTTCCTTTATTCTTAGAAAATCAACTATAATACACACAGCATATAAATGTGTGTTAATAGTGTTTACATCACCAGTTAGGCTTCCAGTCAAGTGGGCTGTTGGGAGATGAACTGGGAGGAGTCAGAAGTTACAGGCAGGTGCGTGGAGGGGCCAGTGCCTCAGCCTCTGTGTTTCATGCTGATTAAGGCTCAGCTGTCTCTCTCTCCACATGTGTATGTTCACACACTTGTGTGTCTACGTGTGTGTGGGGGGGGTGTACATGTTTACGTGCAGTGAGTGAAAACACCATATTTAAAGATAAAATTAGTGGAATTTTCCCCGTGACATTAGCAAATCAGAAACATTGCTCGCTAACTCTTATTCTGGCAACAACCACCAAAAACAAGTGGGAGAAAGAGAGACGTTGGAATGATTATTTACAGAAAGTCCAAAATTTTAAGCACGTAAGCTTTTAGAACCATGAAGTATGTTTTAAAAGATCAGCAGATTTAATGTCCATTTATAAAAATAAACTAAACAGCATATATCAGCAATAAGCAATTTGAAAACAAAATAAATACATTGAGAATTACTTACAAAACATGTCTTTTTTTTTTTCTGGAAAATAAAAACACGTTTCTGAGAAGCATTAAGGAAGGTGTAACTAAATTGAGAGAATAATATAGATTGAAAGAGCATTGCAGTAATCTCCATTCTCTTAACTTTGGTAATTTCAATTAAAAATCCCAGAGTGATTTGTTATTTTGTTTTGATTTCTGTTTTCCTTATTTTTTTCCCTTTGGCCCGAGGAAATTGACAAGATGATTCTAAAATTTCTGTGGAAATGCAAAGTACAAAGAGTGGGGAGACCCTTTGTGAAGAACAGGAGGTTGAAGTCTCCTGCTGTCTGTTCCAGGGGCTTGTTCTAACCCACAATAATTAAAACGGTGCAGCTGAAATAAGAACTGAAATGTAGACAGATGGAGTAGAATAATGAGTCGAGATACAGACCTATTTATATAGTCACCTCATTCATAACAAAAATTGCCACTGTGTTTTTTGCTGGATCAACTGAATATCCAGATGGGCAGAACTGAACTTTGACTCTCCCTTTATGCCACATATAAAAAATAAATTCCAAATAAATTGTAGTCCTAAATGGAAAAAGAAAATACTTTTTCCGCAAAGTAATTAGAAAATATCTTCATGACCATGGGATACGCAACAGTTTCTTTCTTTTTTAAAATTGCAGATTAATGTGAAGGCACAAACAATTAGGGCACATTGCTTGTGTTTCTCAGGTGAAGTTCAAGTTTAGTTGAGCCGTTCACCCGGTTCACCCAGGGGTGTGCTGTGAGTCCGACATTGTGCCCTCACGTGAGAGTTTACCGCCCCTCCCTGCCTTCTGCTCCCTTCTCCCTCTCCCCACCCCCCTTTTGAATTTAACTGTGTTTTTCTCTCCTGTGGGTGTGCAGTTGTTGACCTAGTAGTTTCATATTATCACTGAAGACTTTGGATACTCTCTTTTCCATTCTTGTGATACTTGACTAAGGAAGATTTCTCCAGCTCCATCCCAGTAAATACAAAAGACGTCTCCATCTTTTGGTCTGGCTGAATCATATTCCATGGGGTACATACAGGGCAGTTTATTGATCTATTCACGTGGTGAGGGACACAGGTTGATTCCATGTCCTGGCGATTGTGAATTGAGCTGCACTCA